TGTCAAATGGAAAATTTCAGAAGGAATAAAGTGGAGGATTACTGAAAATGGCTTGCCAGGGTGAGTTGGGATGCTTAGTTTGGAAGTTTTGCATTTTACTAAGCAAAGATTGGAAGGTCATTGCCAGAAACATGGCCTAGAGCAAGTATTAGTCAGGCTAAAGTCCAGATATTTCTCAGCAGTGTTTAAGAAGGCTATTTTGTGCTACAGAAGAATTCAGGGATTCAAGGAAGCTTTCAGATTATACTTGTATCTATGGCTATTATGATGCAACTTGATTACTTACAGAATACACACATGCACACACACACTTTCATGGACTTGATCATAGAGGTCTGGAGTTTGTACATCCTGAAGATAAATCTTGAGTAAAGTCATGTCTTCAATCAATTCAATGATGTAATGAATTAAAAAACAGCTGAAATGTTAGTTGCTAAATTATTCTTAGAGCCAGTGTTTATGAAACAAATTATTCCCAATTTGATTATTTAGAAACATCTTACTATTATAATTTTGAACAAAGAAAAAACTCATGCTAGTTTTATCATAGGTAAATTTTGTTTTATCATAGATTAATTTTATCATAGATATGTTTTATCATAGATTAATTTCCCCCCAAGAAGTGAAAAATCACATCTGTATGGATGTCTACTCTTCAGTCTACAAATGAAAACTTTTCACAAAGGATGCTAGTGTTTCTACACAAACCTCTTATCTTGTAAAAGAAGAGCATCAAAATTTTCTCACTATTTAAGGTCAATTCCAAACTCTTACATATTAATTTGCCAGCTTGTTTTAACGGGTATGCACAGGTGCTCCTGAGAGTTTTCTATTTTCACAGTAGAAAAAGTTATCAAAGCTAGTGATGACAGCTGTAAAAGTCATCAAGAAAAACATTAAATTTTGGTTAGAATGAAAATAATAAATGAGACTATAGAGATGTAAATGCTGAATTCTCTCTCCCATTCCTTCCATCCCTCTCTCTCTTGCTCTCTCTCTTCTTCCTCTCTCAATGTCTGAGTGGTTGCACAGGCCTACCAGAAAGCTATTTTTGTGTGTGTTGACTAAGTTCTATGCTTCTTTAAATGCTTTTGAGATCTAGCAAGTGGGTTTTGAAGTGCAGAGGAAGATATTTTAAGTAGGTAAAACCATATTTACTCTTCTCTTGTTATATTGTTGTCATCAGTTTTACTCAGTAAGCCTAACAGTGTAAACAAAAGAGGGGCTTTGGATCCGAACATCAATTCAACCATATCCAAGTGGGTATATGTTCACCAATTCACTTAATTTCTCCAAAGCTCACTGTAAGTACTTAAAGAGCATAATGTTTAACTCTGATATATTTTGTGAAGATTAACTGAGATTTGAGTCAGATACAAAGGTACATGACACATGAGGGTCTCTTTATAACATAGCCCTGCTGTGCTATTCACAATTTTTAAATTTATTTCACCTCAGGTATTATTTTGTTTTCTATTAGCCAAAAATCAATATTACCTTGACCAAGGACCTCACACCATAAATAACCTTTCTGCACCACACTCAAAACTCCTTTAGTTCCAATTATATTGACAAATAATTGAGCAGTTATATATGTATTTGTAAAGAATTTTCAGACTTATAATAATAAGTTACCTATAACTGATACCAAATACATTTTATAATTCACTTTTATTCATTTTTATTTTACTTATGAACTTATTAATTCACGATTTTACAAATATGATTCCACTATCAAAAGAAAACATTTTAGCATTTCAATAATGCCCCCTTTAGCCTTCAGTAGTCATTCATTCATTTTTTCATTCAATGATTATATTGTGAATATCAGTGTGATTATTATGATCTTTTAAAGAAGGTACATAAGGTAGGAGATGAGACCCAAGATGAACTTAGAAGACTGAATTATAGCCATATTTGACACTACTGAGCATGGCTACCTAAACCCTGATATATATAGTTTAAAAGTGAGGACAACTCAAGACATGTTTCCATGTTAGATATTACATATCATTTGGGAACTCCAAGTACCAGTCATGAGAAAGAGGGAGATATTTAAGTAGGAAAGGTTAAAATTTTCTAATGCATTATAGAAAACATGATTTATTTCACCATATTTATTAGAACTATCAAACTAGCATTATAATGACTGTCAGGCTGGATGGCGGATGCCTTTACCCAATAAGCCATCTATTCAGTTTCAAAGTTCTTTTAATAGCTTTTAATTTTGAGGTAATTGTGGAGTCATATGAGTTGTAAGAAGCTGAGGTCATCCCCACAGGCCCTTCACTCATTTTTCTACCAGGAGACTCTTTCAACTGGAATGACATTTTATGTCAAAGTGTCCAGGTGTAAAATTAGCAGCTGTTGATCCTCAAAAATGTTCTGAAGTTCCTTTCCAGAAATAATATTAAAGGTGAACTTTATCATTCTCACCAAGGAATAGAGGCATCAATAAAAATTACCTATGAGAGAGTAGAGACACACTGTAGAAACGGTTCTTCAGAAAGTAGCATACACATTCACAGATGCTTAGACCACTAACTTGACTCTATAGGCCTCAACATCAATGACAGAATGCATGAAATCCAGTTGGGGACTATGCGAGGGTGCCCATGGGGAAGGAGTATAAAGACGGCTAAGATGTTCTGTATGAAATACGCATAAATGCAGTCCTTGACCATGACCCACAAGAACATCAAATTATAACTTGCTGATCTATGATGTAGCTAAAACATATTCTCAGAATTCAAAAATATACTAAATCACCTAGGTCTTTCCTCTTTATATTTTGAAAGAATATTAAGCCTCTTTTAAGTAGATAGGCAAATTTATTCTGATATGACCATCAAACAATACACATATACATATGATGACCCTTAAATATACGCTTGCCTGAATTAGCTGAAAAGTGAAAAGAAATAGTGATTGATTCTTTGAATACTGTGTTCCCATTTGAGATAAAAGAGAAAGAACCCCAAATGGTTCTTGGCAGACTGTGACTTGTTCTATGCCTAGATGCATCCAAGATAGCCAGCCAAGGATTTGTTGGTATTTGTCATTGGTTATGCTTTGATCAACCTCATTATTATAGCTTCATCCTACTGCTTCTCATTCAGAAATCCCAGTTTATGCCTTTCTAAAATCTCTCTTTTTCCTATTGTTTTCCATGTTCAGTAGCACACACAAGGAGCACCTCACAGTCTACTGACTGTACAGTCTCTTCTTCTGCAGGTACAGCAGCTTAAAAAATCCATATTGGAATTCTGCCTCTTATCCAGCTCCATATCTTCTCCTTGTGACAAAGTACATTGAATTACATTTTTCCTCTGTGACTCAAATATTTTCCCAAGTGGCACATAAACACCCTTGGGAGAAAGAGCATGTTAAGTCATTTTTATAAAGTTATCCCGATGAGTCATACAGTTAGAAAAAGTGCTACAGAGAAGAAAAATGAAAATAGAGATCAATGAAAGTTAGAGGACTGGGTGTTTAGGTCCATTATGATTGCTCTAATCACCTTGTATATGAAATATGTAATTTGTATCTTCCAGTTTGTAAATCTGTAATTGAGAATAAGAAAAACAATACCTCCTTGGAAAGTTGTTTGGGAATTAAACTAATGAACTATGAGAAAGTACTTTTTAAATATGCAAATGAGTGTGCGCGCGCGCGTGTGTGTGTGTGTGTGTGTGTGTGTGTGTGTGTGTGTGTGTGTGTGTATGCATTGAGGACAACAACCAGGATAGGGTAAGAGAGATTAAAAATGTAAACACTTTCCAAATCATGCCTCACAGTCTTTCCTTGGTTTGGGTTTGAACATACAATGAGACAGTTTATTAATGAAGATGTATTCTGCATTAGGTCAGATACTTCCTAGACCAGACTGACGGATAGAATGGCTTGCAGCATGTCATCTAGGCTCAAGTCTCTATGCCAACTTTACTGTCAGGGCATTCAAGCATTTCCAGTAGCCTCCAGGAGGCCAGCCTATGAAAGAAGAGGAGAGAAACCATTGTGTCCTGAAAATAAGCCACTTTTTCCCAACGGGAGAATTATAATCACATGAACTGTAGTTTGACTTCTGCAGACAGTTCCCAATGGATGAAGAGCCAGAAGTCAAATACAAATATTCTATCTCCAGAGCCCACATTCAGTCCACAGTGTTGTTCACTTAGCCTCAGCACACTTTTTAAAGAGTAATGAAATAGTTTTAGTTTGGGGTCCTCTTAACCTAAAATAGGTGGGTTCTTTGAGTACAACATCAAATATCTTTCTTAGAAAGTCTTCAGACAACATCATTTTTATAAATACTAAACTAGACCTTTGTACTGGGAGAAATGGCCTTGTTTGTCAGTTACTAATTCCCAGAGTTTTCCCTTCTTTCTAGAAAAGGAAAATTTCCCAACCTGGAACATTGAATTCGCTAGTGTAAAGACAGTGTTCATGTTGATCTCAGTTTCTCTGTGTCTCAGAATGTCAACACGTTGGTCAAAAAATGAATTTATCAGCTAAATGTAGCCAAGATATTTAGTTTATCTAAGTGTGCTACAAAGAAAAAATAGTTTACCATTGTTTTTACAGATTGAAGTAAATCTGACATATCATTGACATAAGCTATGGATTTAATTTAATACCACAGTACAGATGTGGGCTCTGATAAGTTTTTGTGAAATCCAGGCTTAGATGAGTAGAGTTGTTTCAATATTTATGGGGTTGAAAATGCAGAGTTAGCAAAGGAAGCATTTTAATTAAAACAATATCTGCCTGTATACGCTCAGAGTAAAAATGGAAGGGAATCCTTTTAAAGCTTTACCACTAGTTTCTTATAGTCAGTTTTTTTCTGCACATTTAAGCAAGTTTGATTGGACCCTCCCTCCAATTGTTTGCATTTTGCTATGAGACCAATTAAAAATGCATTTAATCATTCCCTTAGATTTGCCTACTCCCAACTACATATATATGACTCCTTACAACTTGCCTTTGTAATTGTGTTTTAGGTATCCTGGAGATAACATCAGTGGAAATTGGAGTTGTTGCTGTCAAAGCCATTAACAGCAACTATTACTTAGCCATGAACAAGAGGGGAAAACTCTATGGTTCAGTAAGTAGTCTGATTTTGTTTACAAAACACACTCACTAAATTATTACCAGAGATTTGGAAGGTTGCCTGGAGGAGACACTGAATGGCTTTATTGTCATTTGATTGCTACTAAATGGAGCTACAGCAGGCTGGTCACCAGCATCTCAAAGGCTGGCAAACCAGCTTGTCCAACTCTACAATCTCAGTTGTTCGCCCATTAGCCTACCACACGGGCCATTATTGGCATTTGGTGGTGAACAGTTTAAACTGCAAACCAGTCAAACTCCCATGGAAGCATCTGATTGAGTTGACATGGGAGCTGCAGTCAACTTGAAGAAAAATTATTCAAAACAAAGAACTTGAGTGGAGTGGAAAATCATATACTGTGTGTATGTTGCTGTTGAAGATAAAACAAGGGTTCATGTGCTTTGCATTTTGTTTAAATCTGAAATTGGGAAACATCAAGAAATTAATCATTTCCAGATGAGTCAATGAACTCTAATACTATAACAGCCTAGAAAAGAGTCATTAATTCAAATTATGCCTAATCATCATAGACATAGGTAGGACCCTCTTTGCAACAGGCTCTATTGTATACTTAGATGTAAAGAGAGAACTCTCTTTGCAGTAGCTGATATTCAATTGGTGTCTTGGGTAGGTCTATATCTGTTATCTTTTCAAGGGGTTTTAAGGTTTTAATATTTTGAATATCACCTCTGCAAACTCAGGTCTAATTCATTTTGACTAATTCCCTTAGACTACAATCTTGTGCAAAATAATTATTTTAGAATTATAATTCTAATTATGCTTAAAACTGAATTATAAAGAGTACAACATTTTATGATGTTCATCAGCTAAACACGTGACCATCTACTATGTGACAGATACTGCTTGACTTACCTACCCTAAATTAATACATTTGGAATTGTAAAAAAAAAAAAAAAAAAAAAAAAAAGAATAAAAAGTAGAACAGAGCCAGGCAAGTGGTATACACATATAATCCCAGAACTGGGAGGACTGAGGCAGGAGGACTGGAGCTCCAGACTGGCCTGGGACCCATAGGAGAAACTGTCCCAAAACAAAACAAAACAAACCAGCTGCCACACCCATGCACACAAAGTATAGAAGATGAACTTTGACGTCAAGCAATTTACAACATATAGGGGAAAATATTAACAAATACGAAACAGTTCTAGAATAACTGATTACAAATATAAGGGAAGACTCTAATAGTAGAATAGCTTTATGATAAAGACAGAAACTTTGCCTCTTTCTTGCTAGGTGAAGGTTGACAGAAGCAGGTCAGACTATGACTATGGATATATTTCATGGTGATAATCCCAGAACTACATCAAGGGGCTACTAAATGAATTTAATTTTTTTTTCTGGATTCCACTCTAGAGGAACATTGACTATGACTATAAAAATTTCTTATTGTATTTTGAGAAGGTGGGTAGCAATATCAACGGCCAGAAATAAAATCTATCACATAGTCATTTTAAGTAATCTCATTTTTTCTAACCAGATATTGTACCATAGTTTACATTTTTCATAAGACAAAATGCCATTTAACTTTAAATATGTAAAAAGTATTTTTTCTTAATTAGCATGAGGAAGCCTCAGACTCCATGAGAGAAATTTCAAATAAAGATAAAGATGTACAGAGGACCTGGGTTCAGTTCCCAGCACCACATGGCAGCTAACAACTATCCATAACTCCAGTTCCAGATGAATCCAACACCCTTTTCTGACCTCCACAGGCCTTGCATGACATGGGTGCACTTATACACGTGTAGGCAATACACATAAAATTAAAATATAAATAAATAAAATAGATTTTTTAAAACCCTATAATAATGGGGCATAGGCCCAGACTGTCTAATTTTGAGTCTAAGAGTCTAAGAATTTCATTGTAATATTTCCCAAGTTCTTTTGCCAGTTCTGGTTCAGGTACTGCAAGTTGAGAACCAGTGGTCTGGGAAAGGCTTTGCCTCACAATTGATTCATATCAGGTCTACTATTAATGACAAGCCAGGCATACTAGGATAAATGCTTAATGCATGAGTGCCACAGGAATTTTAGCTAAATTTCTTCATTACATATTATTCCACTAATAACCCTAAAACAGCAATAGAACATTTCTTTAAATAGCTCCACTTTGGGGTCCATATAATCATAACTTTTGAGGTGATTTTTTTTATTTTGTTTTTGTCAAATATGGCTGAGGGCCAGCAAAACAGCTCAGCAGATAAAAGCACTAGCCACCACTATTAGTGACGTGAATATGGTTTCCAGAACCCACGTGGTAGAAGGGGACAATGGACTCTTACAAGTTGTCCTCTAACCTCCACATGTGTGCCATAACACACACACACACACACACACACACACACACGTGCACTCACATACATATAACAACAAAACAAATCTAATTTTAAAGATTATATCTTCCAGACAGTGGTCTGCACCTGTATTCCCAGCTCTTTAAGGTTCAGTAGGAGAATTACTTAAGCCCAGGAGTTCAAGACTATTCTGAGCAACCAAGTAAAACTTCTTGGTCTCTTAAAAAGATCCATTTAACTTGCCCAGGTGCCTCTTGATCCACTGTATCAAAATTACTGAATAAGAGACCCACATGTACGATTATAATCTTGAAGAGATTCTGATATATACACAGTCAAAGCCAACATAATACAAAAGTAAGGTCATCTAATGGTAATTTAAGTAAAAAAAGCACATGTAAACAATTTAAATTGCAATAAAAGATTAAACCAATTTTAATGGTATAATATATTTATTTTTAAATGTGGTATCAAGAGAGAAGTGGCTCATCTCGAATTGTTACATAAAAATGTTCAATGTTTTCTTGTGATTTTCCCATTTTTCTTTTGTGCTGCCTCACGTGCCTTGCTGGTACCTCTTCATGAGCTCTAAGCTCTGGGAGTTTCTTCATTCCATCTGAGCCTGATGCCAGGACATTTTTACCACCCCACCTTAGATCCACTATCTAAAATGACCTTTACCTGTTATATCTCACTGATATATTAGCTGCTGACCTTCTTCTCCTAATAGACTGTGTGACCTTCAAGAAGGCAGCATCAGCCTGTCTCCCACTATGTACATAGCATCTAGATCCATACAATCCCCAGAGTTGTATGAGGCACAAACCTACCTACATTTCTCTCAGATCAACCCATTAGAGAACAGACTTTCTATATCAATCTCCAGAAGAAACCCGTTCTCTAATCAGTGCCCACATGGCTGCTCAAGCCATCTATCACTCAAGTTCCAGGGGATCCTATGTCCACTTCTGGCCTCCACAGGCTCCTGAATACACATGGTGCACATAAGCTAACACAGGCACACACACGCACACACACACACACACACACACACATGCATAAATTAAAAATAATTTTTTTAATTTTTGAAATTTATTAGAAAGTTCAAAAACTTCTGAGGTGAGAGAAATTATCAAGTAGAGGCCTCAAGAAAATATGTCCACAATGCCTTTGGTTTGGATGCAAAAGGTAGAATGACACAACATCCTGATCCTTACTTCATAAACTATTCTAGTTTGCATATAAGAGCAAAGGGGCATTTCTGAAGCTTTTGAGATTGTTACTAACTGCAGAGTAAGATCTGGCATTTGAGAAGCAAAAAAGAGTAAATCCTTGACCGTCTAAATCATGATGAAGCAAAAAAGAGCAAATCATGACTCCCTAAAACTACGTGGCACCTGGTTTAAAGCCAAAATGCTGTGGCTATGGAGTTGATTTCCCGATGCAAGCATCTACAGTGGACACATTTACCATTTACATTTCGCATAGCCATGATTTTCTTGACATGATTATTCATAAAACAAGGCATTTTCTTAAGACAGGGTCTCATACAACAAAGGCTGGCCCAGAACTCATCATCTGATTGAACTTCTGATGTTTCTGCTCCCACCTACCAAGTGCTGGGGTTATAGACATATGCCACCATGCCCAGTTTATTGAATGCTGGAGATAGAAACCAGGCTCTCATTCATTCTATGGAAGAATTTTACATTCCCTGTCATCGAACAGGGCATTTTCTATTCTTAGCTTTAAGCCCCTCCTTGAGTTTATATTTTTTTAAAAATCTATCAAAATTAGAAGTTTTGAAAAGCTTTAGTAAATCTGAAAATTTCAGTATTTGGAAGAGATAAAGAGATAAAGATATCTCTCTTAGATCATGGCTCTGGCTTTTTGTATGATCTGCCTTCTTCTCAACATGTATGTACTTATTGCTGATCTCTAGGTGGATATTTGCAAATGTGACAAGCTTACATTTCTGTCAATTCTATATTTCCCCCCACAGGACCTCTGGTTACCATAAACAATAGTTACAACACTGTCCTCTACAGTTGATTCATCATAAATATTGTTACTGTGATATCTACTTCTTGACAATCATTCTAGTTACTTAAACCATGACATATCCAAAGCACACTAACTTTTCAAAGGGAACAGAATTTGTGGCTATGATAATAAATCGAAAATGAGTCATGTGCTCTCAAACACAGACTCTGTTTTGTGGTTAAGAGTTTGGTTTGTAGTTGGCATTATGTATGAAGGGAGCAACTTATAGAAAAATGGCCACTACAAACAAGTCCATTGACTGGAGGTCTTTAGACAGTTTCTGTCATATGGAATCAAGTATCATCATCATAGAAATAAACAACTGCTTTTCCTTTTCAGAAAGAATTTAACAATGACTGTAAGCTGAAGGAGAGGATCGAGGAAAATGGATACAATACCTATGCATCCTTTAACTGGCAGCACAATGGCAGGCAAATGTATGTGGCACTGAATGGAAAAGGAGCTCCCAGGAGAGGACAGAAAACACGAAGGAAAAACACCTCAGCTCATTTCCTCCCAATGGTGGTCCACTCATAGAAGAAGGCATTGTTAGTGGACACAGTAGAACCAGAGGTTCTTTGGCCAGAAATAGTTGGTATTCTTCATGAAAACAGGAATGAAAAAGGCAAAGACATATTGCAGAGGTCTGCTTGCTTAAAAGGAAGAAACCTTTGGAGCTTTTTGTATTCACTGCTGGCATATGAAGTTATTTTCATTCACTCTGTGTCATGCCTTATAACCAAGATGTAGGGAGATCAAATGGGATTGAAGTTATTCCTAAGTGAACAAATTTGTGGCTGGTTTTTTTAAAAGTTTTTGTTTTTGAACCTCTGAGATAGAACTTAAAGGACATGGAACAATCTGTTGAATGATCTTTGAGAAAGTTATTTATGGAATACGAACACATATCAAAGACTTTCGTTGCTCATTCAAGTCTAATGATTCAATGAGCAGTAAGACACGCAAGCATTTACTGGAAAGCACTTGGGTCATATCATATGCACAACCAAAGGAGTTTTGGGTGTGGCACCATGGAAGAATTGGATCAGATTTTAAAATATAAACATATTAGTGTGAAACTGTTCTAATAATACAAATAGTATGGTATGCTGTGCATTCTGCCTTCATCCTTTTCTATTTCTTTCTAAGTTATTTATTTAATAGGATGTTAAATATCTTTTGGGGTTTTAAAGAGTATCCTCAGCAGCTGCCCTCTGATTTACCTTCTCGTTTTCTTTGGCACACCACATGCATGTTCACGACAAAGTGTTTTAAAAACTTGGCAAACACTTCAAAAATAGGAGATGAGATCAGGGAAGCAGTATGAATGCCCCATGTGCTATCAGTTGACTTAATTTGTACTTCTGCAATAAGAACCATTAGTGAGAACTATAGCAGTGGTCTGTAGTTTGGATAACAGACATCTGGCATCATTTGCCAACATCTATCTGTCCTGAGGCTTCCTTCCCTAAACATATAGACCAGAAGGCCAAATTCCTTTTTCATTGCCTTAATTCATCTCCAAAAATACACTAAAAGGAAGAAAATAAATTGTTAAATGGATTTTAGTAGCCTAGCCTTGTTTTTTTTAACTGATGATGTCTTATCTTATGTCACAGTGGTAAATGATGAAAGGTTATCTGCATATAGAAGAGTGCTTTGTAAGTCCCACATAATGCATATCCCCAAGAGAAACTATCAAGGAATTTGGTATGAAGTCCAACTCTTCCAGGGGCTTAAACTGAGCAAATATATCCTGGTATATGCATAACCATATACTGAAACCTGTTCAAGATGTATGATCTAGTCTTTACAAAAACAAATAAAGCTTGTTTTCTGTAAACTTAAAGAGTTTTAGAAGGTTTCATAATATAACCATATTGAAATTCATTTTCTTAGAGCAGGTATAGAAAACAGTGCATACGTTTACCAGTCACCATCACTATGTATTCCACTAAATAAACACATAAGCCTTATTTGCAGTGTCTGTAGTGATTTTTAAAAGTGTAGAAAAATATTATTTGTTCTAAATACTTTAATAACTCTAAGATTATATTGATGCTGCAGTTTTATCATGTTTCTTGTTTGGAAAAGTCTGTTTATTTTTATTGTTTGGATACAGTATTTTGGTACAAGGAAAAGACTCACCAAAATGTGTCTTTTTACTAATATTTAATCTCTAGAAAGGCTAGTATTTTATGATCCTCTTGTAACTTACTTGTGCTGATGCTTAACCAGCACTGCCCATGAATCTTTTTTTTTTTTTTTTAATGACCACTTCTACAGAAGAAATCCAATGAAGCTCATATTTTATGATTTCTTTGAAGAGCTGGTATTTCAAGAAAAGCTCACTCAGGCACAGTCCTTTGGCTTGAGAATATTGTTGCATTTCATGGTACTTTTAACTTGTTTTGTGACAAATGGGATTCTAAAAAATGTATACACTTTTTTGTGGTTGGATTCTGTATGTTAAATTTTAATTGGTAACTGAGTCCAAGAGCTATAATGTAACACATTCCTAGAAAACTAGGTATCTTTTTTCTTTTATTTTAAAATAATAATTGCACCTGACATATGAACATGGACCACCCAGAACCAAAATTAAATGTTTGGTAAGACAAACTGTAGTATTTGATGACTAGAGTAACAGCAAATAGGGCAGAAGTTGGATTCTTATTTCACATTGCCATTTAGATTACTAAAGAGACTATGTGTAAACAGTCATCACTGTAGTACTCAAGACATTAAACAGCTTCTAGCAAAATGTATCAAAGCTTGCAGAGTCCAAAAATAGAAAACATCTTTCCCCTTCCCCTGCCCTGCATCCTTCCCTATATTCACCCCAACAGACATAAATACAGAAACAATTTGGTGAGAAGTAAAAAAATTCTAACATATTTAAAATGGCATCTTTGCTTGATATTATTGATAGAGAATTCTGGTCCTTTTGACAACTACTGAAGGAAAAGAAGTTCAGTCCTGAATGTTATAGGTTTAAAAAAATCACATTAAGATTTTGGGAGCTCTGCCTCTGTGGGAAGTGTGGGCACTGGTCCACGAAGCTAAAGTGTGTCAGTCATAGACACATGGCTATGCGAATGCTGGTACTGAGACTCTACTTAAAGATACAGAATCACTCCCTCCTCCTACCTCCCAAAGGCTGAACAGTGTATAGTATGTTACATTTAAATAAAGACAATAAAATTCTGGGAAAAGAAAATAAAAATTCTGTCGTTGTTTTGTTTTGTTTTGTTTTATTAGCCTAAAACTCTACCTGGTAATAAAGAGAGAAGCTAGAGGGCTGTGTGCATGGCAGGATGTGGTTAAATGCCCCACAGCCCCAAACAACAACAGAAAAAAAAAATTTTTACTCAAACATTTGTAAGGTTTCTGTAATGTTTTACATGTGTGAGTCAGCTATCCTTACTCTAATAACAACCAAATGCTTTCGATTTTCCTGACTATTCAGGTCCACCTCATTTACACAGTGGATAAAGAAGAATGGATTGAAAACAAGGATGGCTTGTGCAACAATGAAGGTTTTGGAGGAAAGCCAGGAGCTCCAAAGTCTGACTTCCAGGGGATGGAATAGGCCAGTGAATTTGATCTGAAAAGTAGGCAGAAAAAAATATATTGCAAGTTGACTCCAGGACCCAAGCAAGTTTATAGATATAATTCAAATGGATTGGTATTTATGCTGTACAGTTCAAATTATGTAAATATTAATTCAAAATTTGATTATTCAATAAAGTAAACTTTTTTCACATTAATAAGCAGCTAGCTCAAAGTTTGTCTAAATAAAGAGATATATAGGAAATTTGAAATATTTGAGAGTAGATCTTTTATACTTTAGGACAGTGCATATACATGCAAAGAAACACCTTAAGAGTTCTGTGTACTTCCCCAGATGAGACTCTTGCAACCTGAACTAAGCTATTAAAAAAGACTTCTATTGGAAGGATGCTGGGGGAAAAAAAGAAATCTGAATTCCTCTAAAACTGAAAAATAAACACAAGCACTTGTCCTTCTTGCTCACAACTGGAGCTAGGGAACAAGCATCCAGTAAAAGAAGATGACCTAGGAGAAGAAGAAGGGGGGAGAGGGAGGGGGAGGGGGAGGACTAAAAAAATAAAAGCAGTAGTCCACAGGTACAAAAGCAGAGTGACTGCTAGTTACATATGCTGAAAAGACTTTTCTCCTATACATATGTATATTTAATCAATTCCAATTACCCTTCATTTATTTTTCCAAATCAGAAAGAGTTCAAGATAGTTTTTTTTGTTCAGTATATAAATGGAAAGAATATGTTTGCTTTGATTTAAGCTGAGTATAAGGCCCTGAATATAGCCAGATTCTGTGCTTCTGCACACCTATTGAATGATTGTTGGGATTAATACAAGTTTTCACTGAACAAAAGAATCTGGCTCTCCTAATAAACATTAACCTGTATCATAACATTATGTTATAATTATTTCTTTAAATTCCCATGACCATATAATAGTGTTTTCAAGTATGTAAACATATAGAAAAAAACTGAAAACCCAAAACTCATGCATGGCTTTAATTGTAAAATAAAAATGGAAAATGAAAAATCCTTACTTTACAACTTTCACCATATATTGTATACATTCAACAGAAGACAAAAGAAATTTTATAACCTACATTTCTCTTTCCTTTTGCAGATTAGAAAAAGTCAGAAAATGCCTCTGTATGTAAACAATCTACCGAAAACAGATTTATAAACACCATGCATTAGTTAAAATGGAATAATCACGATCAAACTAAAAGGATGAAAGAGGCTGGTCTTATTTCTAAGTGGATAATAACAAACATTTCCATGAGTCAATATCTTGATAGCAGCTAAAGGCAACAATCCCAAACTCTGAGAAAAGCCATATGCCAACCATACATGCATGTGACATGTATTATTTTACACATTTTTATTATCTTCCACTGAGTCTGTATCCACTCTCTAATGTGACAGTTGCATCCTCTAGAGATGAGCAGGGCAAATGAAGAATCAAAACATCCCATGTTCCTCATTACAACTGTAAATTGAACATATGCCTTTGTACAACTTAGGCAGTGACCCCAGCTGCAGAATAACCAACTTCAGTGTGGCCTTAGCCCGCCTAAAGTTTGGTTTTAATTACCTTATACACATCTTAAATGCCTAAATCATCTTACAATTTTCTAAATTATTTAGTTATCATTTCTGTGGTCAATTTAAGCTGCTGACAATGCAAATATTCTCAAAGAGGTCTTTCAATGAGAAGCAAATTAAAAGCAGTTTTCTATGAGGCATTATAAATTTTTGAAGACTCTGTTTTATGGTTATGGAAAGCATTAGGGTTAGAGGTCACTTATTAATTCAATTCGACATTAAAATATTTTAACAACTGGTATTTAAAACACCAGAATTCTTGATAGACTTTTTTCAATGACACAAACCAATATAATGAGTATATTAAATATGTATTTAAGCTAATATCATTAAAATATGTATAAGAAACATATCTGTTGTTACAGAGCTTTATAATGGGAAACCCTGAAAAGTAACATTGGATGTATGTACAGATACAAATAGTGCCTTACAGATTTTTTCCTGATAAACTGAGTTCTGTTTGAAAATGCATTTTGTAGCTTGAACTTACACTCATGCACAAAATAAAAGTAGAATGATATTTCCAGCCATTATCTGCAGTGGTTCCTCATTTCACCCGAGGACAGTTTTATATTCCATCATCCTAAATCTCTTAGGAAATAGTCACACTAGCATATTTCAAATGTAGCAGTTCATTTACTCTCGATTTTTTCCTCATTTTTCATTGAGACAGGGTCTCCCTGTAACCCCAGCTGGCCTTGAATTCACTATGTAGACCAGGCTACCCTCCATCCCACAAAGGTCCACATGTCTTTGCCTCCAGAGTACTGGGATTAGAGGTGTGTGCAACAATACCCAGCTCTTCCTTATTTTTAATGAAAGGTGATATTAAATAGATATCTCAATTAGACACAAGAATATGATAGACTTTACTGGAACCAATCATCTACTTCATTTACTTTCAATGAAGAATAACTCCAAAGTATTGCTAATAGAGAATTTTGGAGGCAATTAGCATAGAGAACTTCAATTATTATTATATCTTCCTTTCTACTTTTAAGATGTCTATGTCTCTATGCACATATAACTATTTCCTAATGATAACTTCATGGTTGCCAATCATTTACATAATTCAGTCTTGCTAATGGAGGAAAGAAAAACAAATTTGAAGCATAGGAACTCCTACAGGTTGAAGTCTTAATCCTCAGGAACATGGAACATGGTCCTATATAGAAACAGATTCACTGAATTGCATTGAGTAGGGTTGGCCTCTAATACCCCAAAAGAAAGTGAGACACAGAAATACACATAGCAGAACCATCTTGGGCTCTTTAGACTGCTGCAACAGAACTCCACAACCTGAGTGGATTTTATAAACAACAGAAATGAGCACATCTCTTAATAATCATTTTTGCATAAAATGATTGAAATTGCACAATTAAGAAGACACAAAAATTAAATAATTGAATTGTTCACATATCAAATTTATACATTCTAAAGAACAGAGACCACTTTGGAACAGAACATTAGAAAACTGTATATAGTAACAGACTTCATCTTAGACATTAGATGCTACTGTGTGAGTTTTCTCAGGGAGATGTGAACAAACATCTATTTATTTCAGGTAAGGAAATAATGATTGATGAATCAGTGAGTTTATTAAGGCTACCCACAGAAACATGAGTATCTCAATGGCAGCGTATCACTGAAAAACCCTCCTCAACATGAAAGCTGTGACCTAGAGCTCCCTGTTAAACTTGTACACAGCTCCATAATACCCCGTCTCTCAGCAACTCCTTACGGCTTATAAAAGCTTCAGGAAAGGCCTTGTGAATCATGGAACTTTGGTGAGCTTCTTGAGCCTTGCAAATTTTACTAATATGGTCATGAGCCTATGTGGGCCAGGGAATGGAATGTGGCTCAAGGAGGAGAGGAGTTCCCCATAATAGGCTCAAGTACTTGAACACTATGTTCCCATTTGGTGGCACTGTTTGGAGAGGGTCATGGAAACTCTAGGAGGTGTAGCCACATTGGAGGACACTTGTCACTGGAGGCCAGCTTCGACAGTAGATAGCCACATCCTATTTCTACTTTGTCCCTCTGCTTCCAGTGTCTGCTTGAAGATGTGAGCTCAGCTTTCTGTTCCAGCTGCCTCCTGCCATGCTGCCCAACCATGATGGACTATTATCTCTCTGGAACCATAAACCAAATAAAGTCTTTCATACATGTTTCCTTGGCCATGGTGTTTTATCACAGCATCAGAAAAGTGACTAATACACTTCCCCAAATCCTATGAGCCTCAGTTTGAAGGGAACAATCATAGAGCACATGTACTCTTTAAATTCCCCTCACTTAAGTGACTCTGCATTTTATGCATGGCATTTATGAAGTGTGAACACCGTAATTTGTGAATTACCAGTCAGTATTTCACAGATTTCTTTAGTCTGCCATCCTCTTTGATAAACACTAAAATCTGAAACCCCCTTTAATATTATAGGGAAGAAAAAGTAATATTAATATATTGACTAAAACTCTTAGCAGTCAGACTAAGTATTACTTTGTTTTCAAGGTACATGTGTCACAAGGAGAGTCTTTATTAGCGCCTTTCTCTGTTGATGACATTGATCAAGGAAAAGGACTTTGTACTTTGACATTTTGTGCTGGATTGCTTTGTGTATTGTAGAATGTTATTCATTTGTGGCAAGAAATAATGTCTATATTCTTGACTTTTCTACAGTACACATCATAGCTTTTCACTTGCTCGCCCCTTTTCATATGGTCTGCATATTTCTCATTGTTCATTGCTGAATATTTTCAATCTTCATCATTTTGATCCCTAGTTTGGTTATGACTTTTTTTATTATACATTTAGGCTAACTGATGAAAGAACCATGTTGGGCCTTAGAATCTAACTGTAATATTTAGAATTCTGAGTACTCCTGTAGCCATATCCTGGCTTAGCACAGGCTTATCCCATTATAATTTCATTCTTGTGGCATGTAATTTTAAGTTTACAAGAAAAGTCATCTTATGAGGTGGGTATTTGAACAAAATTTCACTAAATATTCACTGATGCAGCCAACAGCATCTAGGATCCCTGAAGTGCTTTATAGTTCATCCTTTGGTTTGCACTGAGCCTCCATTTTTGTTGTACTGCCAGTACTTAAACAAGTAAAGATCACTTCTCGGCCTGTAGATCAAGGTCGCGTGTGTATGAAGAGTCAGCAGACGTTCCAAAAAATAGACCTTTGCTACAAGAATAAAATTACAATGGGATAATTCAGTGCTACGGCAGTCCTGTGATTATCGGACCACAAAAGTATTCAAAATATTACCAAAAGATTCAAAGGTACAACATGGTCCTTCCACCAAAAAGTTGTTCAGACCTTGTGTTCTGAATCAACAATAGCTAATGAGTTAAAGTGTCCACCCCTGTCATTCTAATTTGTTGGTGGTAGTGGTAGTGACAGTGGGTTTTTTTCTTTTAAGACAGGGTCTCAGTTTGTAACCGAGGCTTGCCTGGAACTCACTAGGTAGTCTAGGCTAACCTCATACTGATAGCAATTCTGTTCCTTCAGTCTTCTGAGAGCTAGGATTACAAGCATTAACTACCATCACACTAGGTTTCTCTTTATATTTTAATATCCTGACTTTTATTAC